GAAAAAATGACGATTTGACCATTTTTTCCGGTTTATCAGTTTCAATACTTACTCGGTTTCATTAAAGTCTCATTTTTTTACCATAATTTACGAAGAAGTCCCAAATTATGGTAAAATAATGGGACTTTAATGAAAATAACGAAGAAGTCCCAAATTATGGTAAAATAATGGGACTTTAATGAAAATTATGGTAAAATAATGGGACTTTATTAAAACCGGGTAAGTAATTAAACCGCTAAACCGGAAAAATAGGGCTAAATCGTCATTTTTACCGGTAATTTAGATTTTTTCGTAAACAAATTTTAGTTTGGGACTTTTTCGTAAATTAAGGTAAAATATTGGGACTTTTCCGGAGATTTCCCTATATATATATATATATATATATATATATATATATATATATATATATATATATATAATAGATCAGATCCCGTATCTTTATGATAAGATCGGTTATTAGTATAGATTAGATACAATCTCGTCAATCAAGGTATATGCATGTATAGATTAGGATATATACTACATTAGGGCTAGCCCTAATGTATGTAGTGCTAGTGTTCATGGCTTTATGTCAATTGTCTTTGTGACAAACCTCGTCTTCTTGGTGAAGACAAAACCTCTTTTTTTGGTGAAAGGAACATATGGAGAACTTCTGTGTTATTTACTTTATGTTGATTATTTCGTTTAGATTAGTTTTACCTTTATTGTTCATACTTGAAGTATATACGATCATAATACAAACCGTCAAAACTAAAGAACACGTATAATCACAAAGATACTTTCACTTAAAAAGAAGGGCTCTGACTAAGAGAACGAGGTCACAAAGACGACACACAACTTTACATTAGGGTTTCACCCTAATGTTGATTATATACGATTACAATAACTAAGATCCTACTATTTAGGGGATGTATACCTACCTGAGTAAAGATCTGATCCTAATCACTAATATTATGGATCAGATATCTATTCTATATATATACAAAGCATAACTACCTAATATACAAAAATTGCTAATATTATGAAGTTCACGTTGGCGTTGATAAGTTGGGATTGGCGTTGGTGCTGGTGGTGGTGGTCAACGTGTAGAGTTTGACTCATCAGATCATAAGGTATGACCTTACAATCTCCTCGTATATGATGATGTCAAAACAAGTTATTCCAAATTTTCTCTCCCTAAAAATGAAAACTTCAACTGGCTGTGATACGTTGCGACTGGTTCCAAAATGGTTCGCTTCCTTGTTCACATCCAAAGACTAGAGATGCATTCATGGATCACTGTCATGAATGATACTTGATAAAGGTAATATTTTTATATCCTTAATACTTGAGATGCATATATGGGACTTGAGTATGGGGATTGTTATACTTTGATGTAGTCAAATGTTGTTATTTAAACAGACAGTTATAAAAGCTATTGTCAGGTATGATGTGAACCATGCAAGAGGCGTATGTAGTCAAGACGAGATTTATTCCTCTCATTCATTGAGAGTTAAATATCTAAGGCATTATCTAAAGTTGAACACTTAAATGAGATTGACTACGATCTATATCTCATGTTCAACATGATGTTTGTAGAAAATGATAATTGATAACTTTCCTTAAACACCAGTTGTAGTTTTGGGCTTATGGGGAATTGAACGTTGATAAAATGGCACAAATCATATGTTGTTGGGTGAAGTAGAATGTTGCAAGACGTTCACCACTGTCTATATCAATCTAATATGAGTCTTGCGCAAGTAGGATATTGAAAGATCTTGTATACTCAAGAGTCATATTATAATGATATTGTTAATTAACATATGATCCTAAAGGGTCGCACTAACAACAACTTGATATAATTGATTATTTATTAGAAATTAATTATAATAAATATTCATAAACACTTATAATTAATTCGAAATTATTTATTTCATGGAAATAATAACTTTTAATGGTATGTAACATAATATATATCATATGGTATGATTTATTAAGTTATGTACAACATTTTGGTCTAGAAAGACTTTTTTGTCTTTTACCTAAAGGTTAAGGTTTATAATTTATAAACTAGTTTATAAAATTGATAAAGTTTGTATTCTTTTTTCTTCTCAATGCCGTAGATTGAGAGGGAAAGAGTATGCATGGTCTTTTGATTTGTTTAATAAAAAACATGACATGTCTTAATAGCATGGGGGCATGTAACATTAGGTTCATGCGTGCTTAAATGGTTAAGGAATTGTGGGTATCGTTTTAACTTTAATACAATACATGAGGCTTTCATTCTTGATCACTCTTTTGCTCCAAAAATCGTAAATGCTCTCTCCGTCTCTCACTCTTATCTTGAAAAAGTGTTATAGGCTTCTTGTTACTTGCATTTGCTCTCTTTGAGTCATACTTAGGTTTGGCTCAAAGCTTAAGAGTTCATAATACTAGCATCTTCTTCAAGTTGGTTTCTTGTTGGTATTCACAAAGGAAAGGATTCCATCCACGTTCTTTTACAACTTCCAAGATTTACCTTGAGGAATCATTGACAACAAAGGTTGTTATTTCTTTTACTTTTCTATGGTTGTTGTTTTCTTTCCATTTCTTGCAAGATGATCCTTGGTGGTATAACTTGTTTATATTTATTTCGAAATTTCAAGTCTTTTGTTGCTAAAATCTCGAGTTTTTGAAACTAATTTGGAATAAAAATCCAACATCACATTGGAGCCTTCCCCGTTCAGAGGAACTACCTGAAGAACATTTAATCCACAACTATAAGTCAACGCTTAGTTAGTTCCCCAAAATATCATATATCACAATATATAAACATGCATACAAAAAATGGTTCACGACCTCTCGTCGTTCCACCAATAACGGGTGTATCCGGACTCACAGTCTGTCGTCGTTCCGTTGTCAACACGAGTCTATAAGCTCACGCCCTGTCGCAGTTCCGCCGTCAATTCCTCATACAAACATAATGAACGAATCATGTAAAAAAACATTCAATCATACATAGACTATGCTATTCAATAGATACAACTCTACTTCACTATTCCATATATCCTAGCATACAAGGTTATACATTATAATATATAGTATAGTGATATGACTCACCTGAACAATTTCGAAACAGCTTAGTAGGTTGGTTTGCAGAGAGCTTAACCAACACATAACAATCTATAATATATTATACTAGTTACTGACTATAATATTTAGATCCTTCATTAATCTCAAAATATACTTTCATGGCTATCAAATAAGGATTAGTCAGTCAAGACAGTAGGGAGGCATGACTATTTCAATGTATATCCTTTTTGAAATCCAACAACCAGGGTCTATCTTAGACATTTCTCCCGTAAGTAGATCAATCAATACTTTTAACTAGAATCGGTGACTGGTCTATTAATATAACAGAGATTATGAATATACCCCGTTATAGATAAGAGTAAGTGTAACTTACTCGATTTGACGAAATCTGAATCGTCATGCGTAGAACTTCGACGCCTACTTCCTTATTTCTTTCCAAAACTTCCATCGCTTCGCTTCCGATATTTTATTATGAGGAATCGAATCACGAAGGACCAAAATCTCGAGAGGGAGAGAAAGATTCTTGAAAGTGAAAAGGTGCAAGGAATAAGTGAGGGGTAACCCTCTAAAATAGAGGGAGAAAATTCAATAGACGTGTTGTGGCTTCTATAGATATGACTCCTCGACGTTAAGGCTGATAGGTGGCATTTATGACGGGTAATTGGGAGGTTGGGCGGTTGTATCATTAGATGTGATCAGTTGCCCTTCTAAGCTGTCAGTATCCTATTATTTTCGTGTTAACTTCGGAAAATCATAACGTCTTCATATGACATTCGATTTCGACGTTCTTTATATCAACGGGTTCGTAATTTGGTCTACTACAACTTTTATGTTGAGAAAATTGGCTAAAACACAGCATATTTATATTGAATATTTTAAGGACTAAAGCTTATTCTTTATTAATCTGAAAGTGAAAACAAGGTCTTACATCTAGATCGGGATCTTGATCGTTTTCTGCTTTGTAAAATTGTGATTGTAAGATCGATACGAGTAATAATATCCTATCAAAACATTTTAAAACTTAAAAAATATATTTTCTTTTCCATCCATCAGTTAACATTTTAATTTATAATAAATTCTTTAAACCTTAAACATGCATCTCTAAGAAATTATTTAACAATAAAAATCCAAAAAGGGTTTCTAGAGCTCATATTTAATAATAATGATCTTATGATACAATGCTACGATCATACATCGATCTTATCCAAAAAATGGCTCATGTATAATCAGAATCATTTTACGTAAGTATCATCGTAGAATCGTATGATCATACAATCGGAATCACAATTTTAATAACATTGATATCATATGTTTGAAAAAAAAATTAATATAATTTGTTTTTTAACTTTTAGATTATTATTTTTACTCCACAGAAAATATTATAAGATAATATTATCTGTCAATCAAAGAAATACAATAAGATAATAGTAACATAATATTTATAATATTTTTGTGTCGGATAAAAAATATTACATTAACAAAATAATTAAAAAAATTAGTTTTAAAAAATCTTTAAATTTTGATCTAAAAATTATCATATTCTATCTCTGATCGGTTAAATATATTAACAATTACAAGTTTTTAAAACTTAATTACTAAAAAAGAATTATGACATGTGTCACATTTAATGTTCATTTAATGAAATTTTAGGATACTAATATGACATATGTCATCATTTAAATGGATGGGAGGATTAGTAGGATCAAAAGGCATGAGGATATTTAATTTCTCTTAACAAATACAAAACTCAAATTTAATACTTTTGTAAATATTTCCCTTTAACAAATACGAAACTCTAACTGTTTACTGTTCAAAATTTTATGATTAAATTAAGTTACTTAAAATCCTTTTATACTTTATACAATGATTTTCATGAAATTTGGAAGCAAAACTTATGTACACTTTGTTTTCTTTAATAAATAAGTAAATAGTACTTATAAGAATTCGCTATGACAAACAATTTAAAATTATATGTCACCCACCCCCTTGCAAGGTCTCCGCCTCTCCATTTTCTTACAGGAGAGGATAGCGAAGGCCTCTATCCCTCTCCTCTTCTCTATATAACAAGATATATCTTCCGCCATTTCCGAATCTTTTCTTCTTCTTTCTCCTCCCTTTCTCTTTGTTCATCTTCCAACTTTAAAAGACTCATTGTGAAACTAAAACAAACTGTGAATTGCCCGAAAGGGCGCCTCTTCTCTTTTCCTATGCCTCCAATCAGGTTTTAGATTCTCAATCCAATTGGTCATCTTGTTATTCTCACTTGGTAAATTTTGGCTATAGCAATCCTGGGTTGTTGATCTTTTTGATCAATTTATAATTTTGAAGTACAAAAATAAACAGATTTTTCTTGTTATTGTAGGAATTCCGATTTGTGGGTTGATTGAGTATCGATTTATCGAAGATCCAGTGCTCTTTGATTAAATCCGAGACTACCCATTTCTCAGTTACAAATACTCATCAAACTTTCTGGTATGATTATTGTTTAATAAAAATTGGAACTTCTGTTTGTTCGTCTTACTTAATCTGCATTCCGATGCTGTTGCATCTGAGATATATTGGTCAATTACTTACAGATTGTCGGTTATCCGACTTACTGTGTGAATTACATATAAGATAGTTAGATCTATATTATGATATTCAAATACTACATTATTTTTCTGTGAGTGATGTTCATCCAATTGAAAATTCAGATTTGAAATACGAAATTGAACAATGTTGAGTTTATGCATATAACAGAAATGGACCATGGGAAGTTGTTCATCGGTGGGATTTCATGGGACACCAATGAAGATAGTTTAAGGGAATATTTTCAGACTTTCGGTGAAGTAATTGAAGCCGTAATCATGAAGGATCGAATCACAGGTCGTGCTCGCGGGTTTGGTTTTGTAGTTTTTTTAAACCCTGTTGTCGCTGAAAGAGTCGTCAAGGAAAAACATATCATAGATGGTAGAACAGTGAGTTCCATTAACCATTATCATCTCTCATTTCTCTTCTTTTTCTTCCAATTTTACTGATTTCGATCATCAGGTAGAAGCAAAGAAAGCTGTCCCTCGGGACGATCATCAAACCATTAACAGGAGCAACAATGGCAGCATTCATGGTTCCCCTTCGCCAAGTCAAACCAGTAGCAAAAAGATTTTCGTCGGAGGTTTAGCGCCAACAGTCTCAGAACTCGATTTCAAGAACTATTTTGATCAATTCGGGATAATTACAGATGTGGTAGTGATGTATGATCACAACACCCAAAGACCTCGAGGTTTTGGATTCATTACTTATAAATTAGAAGAATCCGTTGACAAAGTTTTGCTGAAAACGTTCCATGAACTCAATGGTAAAATGGTGGAAGTGAAACGTGCAGTTCCTAAGGAGATATCTCTAGGGCCTATTCGTAATTATGGATTAAGTAGAGTTAATAGTTTTGTTAATGGATATAACCAAAGAACAGATGGTAGGTTTAGTTTAGTGAGTGGTGTTCGGGGTGGATTACCACCATTCAGCCTATCTAATGTAGGACCCAACTCCGATTCCGGTTTAGGTGCGAACTATGGAGGGAATGGAATTGTTAATTCCGGTGTTGGATATGGGCGTGTGTTGAACATAAACCCTATGTTTAGTGTCAGTTCAAACAGATATGCCATGGGAGGTGGTGGAACCGGAAATGAATCTCTCATTAGCTCACTAAATCACAACATATGGAGTAATGGGAGTCAGAATTATAGAAACGGTTCAATTGGTGATTCCTTTGCTCCTGGAATTGGATTTGGTAGTAATGGAGCGATTTGGAGTAATCTTGATTCCGATCAAGGTGGTATTGGTGGTGGTGGGAATTCTAGCTTCATTGGTAGGAATCCTATTGGATACAGAAGAAATGGTGGTAATAGCATTACACCAACCTCTTTGTATGGTGAGATTAATGGCGGTGGCGGTGGCGGTGGTGGTGGTGGTGGTGATTTGTTTTCTGTGGACCCCACATGGCGGCCATTATCGCCTGAGTTGGAAGTACCTGGTTTCTTTGGTTATGGTTTTGGAAATGGATCGAATAGAGGTATATCATACATGCCAAGTGTTATGAATAATATAGCATAGCATACAAGCACATAACACTTACCTTCTTGTTTGATACTATTTGATTTCAGGAATTGCTACTTAAAAAGTTATAATTTAGAGCTAACAGAAGAAATCACACGAAGCCGTTTACAATGGAGAGTGTTTACGTAAGGTTTTATTGAAGTTTTTTTTGAGTCTTGAAAATATAGGTTTTGAGAATTATGATTTTATATTATGATGAGATGCGAAGCTTTGATCGTGAATATATACTATATAGAGTGGAATGAAAGAGGTTAATTTTCTTGTTTTTTGGGTTTTTATGTGTAAAATGTTTCTGTTTTTTTGTTGAGATACCTTTGAAAGAAAGCAAGTGTGTATTTGTTGTTATAGAATAGATTCACCAAACTCTATTTCTAGAAACGGGTTAGGTTTATTTTTGTTGGGAAGTTTATGTTTTGATTACATAATGGCGACTTTTAACCTCCTAAGATTGATTTTTAATGATAGGAATAATGAAACCACATGGAGTCTAATAATACTACTAATAATAGTAATAATAATAATAATAATAGGAAAATATTCTAAGTTTAGATTAGAAAATGAAACTTGCTGGAATAAGGAATACCAAACCCAACCACCTAATATGTAAAGAATAAGAAACTTACCATAATTAGATAAAGAAAGCAAGAGTTGAAATGTATTGGTCAAGATGCTTTTTTTTGCAAAACTTTCGAAATCATGTAAAGATAAAGTTTGACCAATTAACTTTGATTGTTCCCTTTTTCAATTTCAAGATTTAAGTACCAAATTTATTTGATTTTTAGGGAGGGGGAAACATGAATGACTATTGAACCCTTTTATTGATAGAAAAGCTTTTTATACGATATAATTCAAATGTATTGAGGTGAAACATGGTAATTAAAAAAATGTTTTACAATTCCGTTTGTTTTGGAAAAGCCAACATGTGCCACACAAAATGAGGAAACTTGCCACCACATGATTTTATAAGATATTCTAATTCTAATAGTTTGAACTTTTCTAAAGCTTCCACATTGCATATTTCGGTATTCTTTGGTGGTCCATCGGCTTTGGCACAATCTTTCTTTCATAAGTTAAAAGCTTTGAATCGAATTTCAATCTTTTAAGTGCAATGTTCCTAAATACTAAATGTCAAACCGAATTCAATAAGTAATTCCATTAACCCATGAAATAGCAACATCTAGTGGGACACATAGTGTTAGAAATGTTTTATTAACCAAATGTTTTTAACAATGCTTCACGGGTGACGAAACAAGAGATCTTGTAAATATATAAGGAATGGAAAGTGTTTTAGTTTTGATGGAATGAAACAAGAATTGCATAATACAAAAAAGTATATGAGCAACCACGCAAAATGTAGCAAATGCCATAGAGGGTGTTATACACTTCAACAACAAATTCCATTTCTAAGTTTAAAATTACTTTATCTATATATTATCACCATTACATACAAATATTTGATCTGGATTCAGGCCCACAAGATTCTCTTTCTAGTGTATATCAAATGGTTGATGAATAAACATTATAGTGTAAGTCATTTTCCACGAAAGTATCTTAAAAATGGACCCAAATATGCAATATGACAATCACCTATAACATCATAAGGCTCTCATAACGTTAAATTATTGTGTTAAACTCTGGGGAGTGGGTCAACATAAGGTTCGACACCACTATGGCATGCCGAAGTGAGAGGGCGCACGACAACCCACTGCCGAGAGAGAGAGGGAGGGAGGGGAGGGAGGGAGGGAGGGAGAGAGAGAGAGAGAGAGAGAGAGAGAGAGAGAGAGAGAGTAACGGCTATAACAGCTAGTTTTCAATTTCCTTTTGGGCAAATATCATAAAAGCCCTAACTTTTACACACTTAATTGGAAAAAAAAACCCTATATTTAATTTTTCATTCACCGTGGCCTCAATAATTACGCATAGTTATCAATTAAAAACTAATAGTCTGATAACAAACGGTAACCTTTCTCAGTCAGTCACCTCTTTCGTTGAAACAACATCCATCACCTTTCACTCCATAATTGTTCATCTTTCAGAACTCTCACCCTCAAAAGGGTTTCATGCATATGAACATTGGGTAGAGGGGTTTGAAAATGGATTGTGAAAATCACCATTTTCATTTTGTTGAGCTCGAGAATTCGTTGTTGATACACACTATGCTAGTGCAAGGTAAGTAGATGTTAACATGAAATTGAAGTGTAAATGGGTTTTTTCCTCATGTAAAGATCACTACCAAGTTTATTTTTTCATATTTAACAGATGGATTCTACTTCTGGTACCAAGAAACACAAAGACAAAGGCCCTAAGATGGTATACGTTGAAGACTCAGACTAAGATGATGAAGTTTTTTACTTCAGTTTCTTGGATTTTTCACAAGAAACCTTTAAACCCTCATTCAACATCTGTAATGACCCTTTTCTTAACTTATTGTGTGATGAAAATATGTTAAAGTGGGGTATAGACAGGATGAGGGATGATCAAAATCGACCTGGTGTCGAGGAGGATAAGCATCGCTACATACTAGAGGTAAATGATAATGAAGTTGGTGTGAAGTATACGGTCCATGATCCAAACCAACTTTGGAAATAAATGAAGCCTGGATTAGGTGAGTTTTATAAGTCCCCTTCTCAACTAAGGTTTGCATTAACAAACTACGCAATCCATAATGGATACCAAATTTACTTTAAGAATAATGATAGAGTTAGGTTTATTACTAGGTGTAGCAATGATTCTAATGATAGAAAGCCATGTCCTTTTAGGGTAGCAGTTGGTTGGAAGTATAATGAAAGGACATTTCAAATTAAATTCATTGTTAAGACTCATCTTTGTGCTATGAAATACAACTTTGGTAGTTTAGTTACTTTTAACTGGTTAGCCAAACACTACTTGTAAGATGTCATCAGGAAGCCCATTATGACATTAGATGAGATGAAAGAAGATGTTTTGAGGAGGTTTTTAGTGAATGTATCCAAGGGGAAATGTTAAAGAGCAAGATCATAGCTAAGGAGATGATATAAGTGTTGGGTTTTTATTCAAAATTAGTTTCAAAAACATGATTTTAGGCAACGGAAGACTTAATCAATTGAATAACATAAAATAAGTTTAAACCCACCAAGGATAATCTTGAAAGTTGTAGAAAGATTTAAACACCAACCAAATAAGAGATGAAGAAATGACAACCTTCGTAGTTCTTTGGATCCTCTTGGGAGACTTGGAAGTTGATGAAGAATGATGAACTTTAGAGACACCAACAATGACTCAACTTGATGTAGATTGCTAGTTGTTTTGTATAAAACTCTTAATCTCTTAAGCTTTAGTTCATATCAAAATATGAACTAAAAAGAGCATAAATGCAAGAAGTAAAATAAAAACCTTTTGCAAAATAGATAGAGCATGCATATAAGATGCATGTTACGGTTTTGTGCCTACACAAAAGGAAGGCATGAAATCCTTCATAAAGTGATTCTTTTACACATAAGTTCTTAACCTCTTAAGCTGTAACGACCCAAAAATCAGGGGTAAAAATTTCATTTTTAATATAACCTAAAAATAGATATAATTTATTCCAAACATTTCAAATCATCATTAAGTAAAACATTTATCAGAGTTCATCCCAAAATCATTCATTGCGGAAATCATAGGTGTGTGCACTGCGATCAATCCGAGCCCTTCCTTTCCAAAACGATGATACCTGAAACAATAAACAAAAACTTGTAAGCACGAAGCTTAGTGAGTTTCCCAGAGCATACCATACACACAATCCACATAACACATATCCTGTTAGCTATAAAAGCTACCTGTATCATATAAGCCATGCATACATAAAACCTAGGAAAGCCATGGGCTACCCCACATGGTCTTACTTCCAATGCCATGGGCTACCCCACATGGACTTTACCTAGGACTGCCATGGGCTACCCCACATGGTCTTACATCCAATGCCATGGGCTACCCCCCCCCCCCCCACATGGTCCTTACCTCGGACTGTCATGGGCTACCCCACATGGTCTTACATCCAATGCCACGGGCTCCCCCCGTGGTCTTCCATGCAAGTATCACAAAGACAACTAGCATAAAACGTATCATATAATCACTAGCATATCACTTAGCATAAAGCTAACTACCATACCACATATCTCTACTACAGCTACTGTACCACATAACGTAAAATGGGTCGGCCTTAGTGCCTTAGACCCATTGGTATGGTGAGAAGACTCACCTCGAATGCAAAAGCTTCCTGAAGAAATCCTTAGCTGCTGCCCCGCCAGCTTCCCGAGCTGCCACTACCAATCAATATACCCAAGTTAACAATTAGGCCCCATACCATAATCCTTAATCCACACATGGGGTAGAATGACCATTTTACCCCTGGCCCAATATGACCCACAACTAAGGTCCGAACCCAAAACAAAAGCCCAACATTATAATGTCCATAAAACCGTCAATGGACCAATTTTCCAAATTGGGCCCAAACCTTTCTAATGGACCTTATACTAAAGCTCAATATTCTCCTTAGTCAATAATACTTACCAAATTGGCCCACGAAGGCCCACAACAACCTATTCCAAGAATTGGCCGAAACCGAGGGTCACAAATGTGAAGTCCATTTCTATATTGGGCCACAAGGCCCAATAGGCCCAACTATTCCATTATTGGCCCAAAGATGCATACAGGCCCAACTATCAACAAATCCAGCCCCAAAACCATTAGGGCCCAAAGGTCCAAAGTCCTCAAAGGCCTAAGTCCTCCTGAGAGCGTACGCCCAGCGTACCTCTTCTGTACGCTTAGCGTACTAAGCAAATGGACTGTACGCGCAGCGTACTACGTAGTACGCCCAGCGTACAAGTAGCTCATGCACAACATCCATTAAGTGCTTAATACTTGATCCAACAAGTCCAAATTACAGATCTGAGCTATACTTAACATCTAAACCCATAAAGTCACTGACTTGGTGACTTTGCATCCCCCAAACAAACCCAAACTCCAAAAATGGCATTATACTTCCATAAAAGTGACCCTAACTCAAGCATGAACCCATTAAGCCCATCAAGATGGCAACTTTCTGCCTTATGGACTCAAATAGCATCAAGGGTGGCAACCCCAAGCCCAAAAACGGATTTGGAACCATAAAGCCCCATTCTTGGGACCAAAAAGATCCAAAAACTCAACATAATAGATCTAAGCATTCAATGGTCAAGTTCAGAGCTTTATACCTTCATTAAGCTGAGAATGAGTCCTAAAAGCCAGATCCATAAGCTCCTCCTTGATTCCCATCCTTGCATCAAACTCCAACTTCTTGGAAATGGGTTAAACACCCCAAAAATGGACTC